AACTACACGCTACCTACCTCACAAACATCTACTTACTAGAACGGTAAGCTACTCACGATACTGCTAACTGGCACACCTATCCTGCCTACAGTCCATAGTAGAATTCCTCTCCCCATCCCTCTCTCTTCCTTCCTTCTTCTCTCTCGCCCGTATCCCAACACATACCTACTCTTTTCACAGCTTCAACTCTCCCACAGACCTTAACCCACCTCCAACCCTTCCTTAACCTCTCAAGAATTAAGTGACAGTCCAATATCTCAAGTCTCCTCTGCTGCAAAGCAACAAGAACTCCAGATACGGTACGTATCATACGAGCCTTAGAACCCGATCGGTCTCCATCCACCCTCCAACTATCAAGCCCTCGTACACCTGTATTCTACTACGGCTACCTACCTCCTCGTGAAATGAGAAGCCCCCATGCCGCGTGCCTGCCACTTAAACTCTAGCAGCCTTGACAACCCCTCTCAAGCTCTTTCGCAGCTATCGACGTTTTTCTCTAGCAGTGATAGCCAAGTTACACGTACCTTCTTCACTTACACCCCAACCTCGCCATCCCATCATATGAATATTTCCCACCGGCTAGCAAAGTAGGTTAGATACTGAAAGCAGCAACGCCAATACCTCTACCCTCTTCCAGCTACTGATACCACATCCGTTCTTCCTATTCTTTCTTCATTTCCCTATACCTCGTTCGAAGCTACCGTACCTTCTGCTATATACCCATAACACGCCGCAGAGGTAAACTAACCACATCATTCAGGCACATCCCAATCTAGACCATATCCAACTCCCTTCACTACTCTCCATCTTTCCACACGTGAATTCTCTACGACAGGCTCGTAGGAACAGCAACCCGCACCATGGCGAGTTCCTCGGAAACGCTGGGATCATCTCCTGCTTCTGGAGACAGCCCCCCAACATCCCTCGATTCCGAGCAAAGACCTACTGTGCCTGTTCGAGAATGGACTCGCTTCGAACTAGACACGGTCTGCGCTCTGATCTGCAAGCACGAGCACCTAGTCTCCTTTAAGCAAGAGTTCAAGTTGCGTGGCGGCGGCCGCCCAAAGAAAGGTGGTGGTAAGAAGGATGACTCGGCTAGAGACTGCGTCCTCCGGTTCGCCACCAAGCTGAACGAGATCCTCCATGATGGGCACGGGTATAAATATGATATTCCGACTCCTGATGTGCGCGAGCTCATGGACTTCATCGAGACGAATAATGCGCTGGCTATGGCGTATATTAAGAGACAGTCGGCTCCGTTTCGAATCACCCGCTCCAAGAAGTATGTGTTCCAACGCCTTTGTGTCGATTTCAACTACGCCTTCTATAACTGGACCATCGCTCGTCGAGAGAGACGTCTGAATCCAAATATCGAGTCCGACGCCGAGGTACCTCAGATCGCCCGGGTTGGTGATGGTCGCTATCCGGGCCAGAACAAAGGTGAATTCATACATCAATACTACTTAGCCTTCGAGCTCCCACTAAAACTTGTGACACATTAGATGCTTTTCGTCCGGGCACTACTCAAGTTCAGAGAAACGCAGAATCGTTTACAGATAACACGTACGGTCGACGAAATCGCCAGGCCTTGGGCACTACTACTTCTTTCTCGGCCCCAAAGGGTCGCTCATCTCAACACTCCACCTCTCGAGGAAAGCCAGCGTTCCCAGCTCGTCGCCGCAACAAGCGCAGAACCGCCGCTATCCCCCCTCCTCCTCCTCCTCCGCCTCCACCTCCGCCTCCTACTACCCAGTATCAACGGACAGTCCAGCAGCCATTCAACTCGTATGGTACAGCATCGTATGGTACAGCGTCGTATGATACGGCAGAGCCCGGATATGTCTACCATAGCCACCTTAATTCGGCACCTCCAAGCCCGTGGTACTATCCTCCGCCCTCTCCAGCTTTCGTCGGCCATGAGGACCTACGCCAAAGTATTCATCCCATGGGTCCCAGACCTGAGACGCCTAGGATCGTGGCCTCGCCTGCGTATCAGTACCTTCCCGAGCCAGCCCAAAGCACCTACCAGATGGGCCAGCAAGCCAGCACCTCGGAATATTCTACATCGCCGGTGAATACTAGCTCGTATGCGTCGGTCTATAACGAGGACTATCACTACCCTGAACCACCTCAGGGTACAAATACCGACTACAGTGGCATCTTTGATACACCTGTCTCGCCCTCGTCTCCAATGTATATCCCTAGCACACCATCTGCTAACATGGCGGAGGCGCACACGGGAATGGCACACCTTGGGGAGAATCACTATACTAATAGTGATCTCTACCCTCAGTTCTCTCAATCCCACTAGGGCCGAAAGAGCGCCCGGGTTTCCCGCACTTGCTCTCCCGTTCGCCGTTGTAAACACGATTGCTATTGGATTTGTCGTCTCTCACCGTACCCTTTCATAGGAAAGGCCTCTAGGAGAGACAAGGAGAAGAGATAACTAACAGACCGAGAAAGACTGGCGATAGTAATGAGATGGGGTGCCGTCGCTATCGGATCTCCCTCCACTCATCTACTGCACAATGAAAATCAAGAAACAAGATAAAAAAAAAAGCCACACTGTTAGCCACCGATGATGCTACTCATTAGGCTATCATCCTCAGCACTGACCCTTTCCTTATGTAAGAAAAGATGAGCCAATGGCCTTGCACGCCGTCTTCTCCTTTTCTTGCATTTTTGCCTTCGTTTCCTGCATTCCGCCCCCAACACTCAACAGTCTCGCGTTGAAGGACAACGCCGAGCCGCAACACAATGATAAATAAACAGGTATGTTTACCTCCCCAAGGCAAGCAACAAATACCGGCTAACGTCCCCCGAAGCACAAATGACCTCATATATAGAGCTATACCAACAGCCTCGAATTACGAGCCACAGTGGCATCTCCAAGTACCCTTTGCCCGATATTCCAAGGAAAATCGCATCGAGTAGATCAGCCAGAAGTTCACTCTACTTTCTTCATGTCTGCCTAGCACTGCTAGCTATCCAGCTCCATGAAGAGAAGAGATCTTGGCGTAATACTAGGCTCCCCTCTGCTATATACTAGCTAAAGAGGTTGGCTCTACTCCAGGCAAGCAAGCCACATTTCGATGGAAGGGTTCTCGACGGATGAAGTGACACGAGATGAGATGGAACAATGATGGCGGGTATTATGATCACGATAGTGAAAACGAGGCAGAGGAGATTGCAACGTGAAAGAGGCGGATAACATACGATGTCCTTCTGTATGCTAGAATATGCGCTTTCCTCGTCTAGAATAGTGAGGCAAAAAAACAAGCTATGCTCTTTCTCAAGTTAATTTTAGGCAGTGATGTGAAATGCATCAGATCATTCCTACCGCCTTTCCGAGGAGGATCGTCTGGTGAGTCCTTTGGGCGCCAACTTTTGCATGTTACTTACTGATACCTTAAAGCAGGCTGGGATGTGCCTCTTCTAGTATTTAGGGAATATACCAGATGGGCAGATGGCTCTGCAGATTGCCAGGTGAATCCATGCCCTAGTAACGGGCGTGTCTGCATTCTCCAGATGTGGAAAACGTTGCTATATCCGCAGGATCTGGACAGGGAGTCAGGATGACAGCCTCATATTTTTATCAAAACCCCCATTATTCCCGGATGTCCTCCAACATATGTAAGCAGCTTCCTAGAGTGAAGCATTAGAGATGTTTGCCCTGTAAACATGGGGAAGCGGGCTAAAAGGGGCTTGCATCTTCTCTATCTGACACGTCAAGCAGATCTCCATACAAGATAGCGATGTATCACTTGACCGAAATGTTTGTGTCTCAGAATAGCTATACATACCACTGGGAGTGAGCCGAATATCCTCTCGGTAGCCCCCCTTTCTCGCCCTATCATAGAAGAGTACGTGTTCCGCCTTACACACATGGGCATCTAGATAGATCCATGCATTGTAAGATCTTCGGCAACGCTTATCTATACTATGCTATATTGCCTCAGTCGTTCCCGAGCGAGCCGGCATCGTGCGGCCGTGGGAAGGACAATGTGCTGCCATGCAGGAGTCCGGGGACCTTCCCGTGGAGAGCAAGAAAAAAAACGAGGCAACACGGGGACAACATGCCAATGTTTCCCCCTTTTCTCTCTCTGTTTGTTGTCTGGCTATCGTTCGTTGCTCGTGTGAGTTGTGAGTGAGTCATTGTGCCCGCCCTGCTAAACCTCACACTGCGCCTACGCCTGCCAGACGGTAACGCTGCCGGTACTGCGGTGCGTGTATACGACTGGTTCCCTTCGGCTGCTCGTATCTGTGGTGTTTCAGCAGCTGGTGGTATTGGCGTGGCTGCTAAAGAGTAAAACATAGTATACCCCTCTCGGTGCTACGGTACATCTGCCAGCAATAGCAGTCTCCTCATTGTGTCCAGTGGGAGGAAAGCCAGCTACACTTGTCTGCCCAATCGCCATGAAACCGGTCGAGAAGCACAGAACCAATCCATGGGTTGGGTAGGATTATACGACCGCATCGAATACCCTTTCTTGGAATGGCTGGGCCGAAACGAAAGAGTGCCATCCTGGTGCTTAGACCATTTGCGCTATACGTACATCTGATATGCATGTTATACTTTCTGTGCTTTTCAGTGGGTGTTAGTATGTTGCATGGAGATTAGCATGGATGAAGGATGTGTGTTTATGCGTCAGGAGGGTGTCGTTTCAAGAGAGACATTGTGACTCCGTCACAAGCCACCTATCTTCCTTATTTACCTATCAACATATAGAGGACGGTAGGGCTGCACAAACTTCTTTAATAGAAACCACACATCGTAGCCTTCGTAATAGAGCTCTTGGTTTCGAGCTAAAGTCTTGACCAAGGCCACCGTTACATTGCCACTTGCCTTCTTTTCTCTTCATCTTTCAACCAATCAAATAAAATGAATTGTATACAGAACAAAATCACAGACCTGGACAATAAAAACAAAATACATAAAATAAAATAGAGAAAAAATATGGGTTGCAACTTCTAGTTCAACTAGAAGGCATCAGGAATTGAGCCCGATGCGGGGGTCGAACCTATGGTACAGAATTAGTATTTTGGTACTATTTTTTAACTTTCTGAAGAAGCTACTCACCCGCAACCTTGAGATTAAGAGTCTCACGCTCTACCGATTGAGCTAACCGGGCAGGCTAGATGTGATGAATTTTGTGCCCACAACCACGGGCCATATGGAACCGAGAACCGGGTTCGTGGCCTCGTCACCTTTTTTTTTTTTTCAGCCCTGTTTCCACACATACTAAAAACATACGGCACAAATCATATTAGAAATAAAGAAACGTGACTGGTTTATGGTGTGTATATGTGTGAACTAATAAGGAAACTAACACGAACTTACTGTAGAGCGTAGAGCTGCCGAGGCATCTCGCCAACCCCTGATCCTGACTAGCTCGAAGGTTTTGGCGAGTGGAATCTGAATCACCTGCTGTCGATCATTTACTTTTATATATAAACAGGGCGAACATTCTAACCACGAACACGAAATTTTGGAGATAACACCATACCATTTGTATTAGGCTGTGATTAGGAGGGTTACCTAGATACTGATTCAATTTGTTCTCGAGAAACAGGGCGTTTGTGTTGTAATGCATGATTACGGCCGAGACTAAACTAACCATCACATTAGTACCAAGGTGGCGATATTCGAGCTCGTATTACACCAATCGTATTAGTTTCTTTTGTGGGACATTGAATAATTTTGTTTATTTTGAGCAATAACTAGGTAACAGTCTAAAGTGCATAGGAACGAACCCAACTGACATTGCTGCGTTGCTAGACCTGTGGTTTGTATCTACGCAGCAGTTTGACCACGTTGTAAAGTAAAGAGAGTTCATGAAAATTGCTCGAGTTATAGAAAACAGTAAGAAAACGCCCGCTGTATCAACACAACATTGAACCTCCCACATTTCCAGAACGGGTGCTCGGCGTAAGGGAAAAAGATAATCGAGAAAATGTGTAAAACGAGTGTCAGAATTGAAAAGAATCCCCAGAGCCTGCAAACGGTCTGTACATTGCTCGATGGTAGGAGCGCACAGGACTGAATAACTGGGTTAAGCGTGTTGAAACACTGTTGTCCTAAGAAAACCATAACCCACGCTCTCGTAGTCGCGGTCACACGAACCACGCCTTCCTGCACGCTTCTAAAAGCCCCAACCGCCCTACCCGTAGTCGTAGGCATGTAGTGATGACTAAGAGGGGGAGGGGGGTCCATTTAGTCCCATCTTTCGACTTTCGTCATACTCGGGGATCCCCGGATGCTCGTCTCATCGTCGTTGTCGTCATCATCGTCATCGTCATCCTCGTCTGTGCTACGAGGGACGTCCTCCACGACAACTTCGAAGGACGGCATATTGGCCTCCGAGGCCATGGCGCGGAAAAGGTGCGTGAGATCCTGGCCGTGGAACGTCCGTAGATCGTACGGCTCGCCGCCAAACACGGCCCTGCGCACCTGGGCCCGCAGATTCAGGCGGCTGCCATCCCTGCTGCTGGCACTGTTGGGGGACCCCTTCATATCACTAGTGAAAGCGCTTGGGTTCAAGCGTACGTCAGTGATAGCGGCGCTCTGGAGCGATTCGCGGGTCGGCTGGCATTGGGCTATGATGCGATGCTGGCCGTGGCGTAGCCAATGGACCGTCATACGCACAGCGTAGACTTGCATGGTGGGGTAGATGACGGAAAACGGTCGCGATAGGTTGCTGCCGTTACCGTTGCTACCTCTGTTGCTGCTGTCGTGGGCATTGGGGGCCGGTGGTTTAGGGGGTCGGTTGACTGCTTGGCCTATCGGGAGAGGGGGTCCCTCTACGGGATGTCCAGGGACGCGAAAGCAGGCGTAAGGCTGCGGTGGGGGCATCGGTTGGTTCATGGCATGCTGTGGCCGGGGAGGTGGTGGGCCGCCTGCTCTATAGATGTGAGGAGCCGGGGGCACCCCTATACCTCGCAGCCCAGGCGGCAGACTCGAATCCGAGCTAGGCTGTAGCTGTACGGGGGGCCCAGGGGGTGGCGGCGGTGGCCCTTGTCTGAATGCAAACGAGGGCGAGCGAGAGCGGGCTGGGCGGCCAGCTCGGGCACGTGGGGGTACCGGGTTCGCGTAGTCAGACAAGTCTCGGGCCGCTGCCCTTGAACGCGAACCTCCCCTGGGCTCATGGCCATTGGGGGCCGTTCCAGTGCGGCTGCTATGGCGGCCAGCGGGACGTTGTCTATCTTTGGGTGCGCCCGCAGCATCTGACGCGTGCTTGAGCATCATAGCCTCATCCCCAGAACTGCCCCATTCGGAAAAGGCGGCGGTCGAGGAATCAGAATGGCCAGAGATGATAGAGGCCGCATCGTCATCATCTAAGTTAGGCTCTAGCAATGCAATCTTCGAATCGTGGAGACTCGAGAAGCCATTTGCCGAGATGTAGTGGTGAATGGCTTCGGACGATTTCGTATGTAGAGACTCTATGGCCTTTTGGGCGTCCTCACAGGGCGATGATGCCAGAAAGGGCTCACGAGTCCCTTGGTTGCACCGTACCGCATACGCTCTGAAGAGCTTGGTGGTAGTATCTCTACTGGTGATGACTTGGACTATGTCATCTTTGCTGATGAGGAACTCGCAGTTTTCTAGAATTGGCCAATTAAAACCGTGAATTTGTCTTATGCAGGACGTGGTGAGATAAGGTAACTACTAACCTATGACTTGTGTCCGACTGTCGAGAACCAGAGGCGGTGCAGGTGGCAATTGGGGGGCCATGGTGGTATATGGTATTTCTTGAAGATGAAGGTGAGCGTGAGCCAGATTTGGGGGCTCTTGTAGGTATACTAGCATCGAGGGAAAGGGTTGGAAAAGATGCTCCTAATTCTCATGGCCGGAGACACCGGAGGCAAATCTTGCTTTATATATTTGAGTCGGGTGCGCCTGGTAATGGCTCCCTGCAGCCACGCTCCTTTTGTGCATCATATCTACTCCCAACCATTGGCTCTGCGAGGCTTGCGTGCATCTTACAAGACGCTGGCCCACGAGCGTGAACGAGCCGTGGTGTGCTGCTGTAACGCGCATAACTGTTTCACCGTGCCCAGCCTTCTGGGCTATAACTTAAGCCCCGAGAACATATTGTAAGAAAACACAAGGGGTCCAAGGACTACACGGTACACGGGCTTCGCAACGTCAGGCCATGCTGCCTTGTGTGTAAGACCTGCCAGTATGGAATGGTACCTCCGCAAAAAATGGAATTGGTCTGTTAGATTAGGTAGTTACACAGCCGGCATACTTCGAAGTGACATCGGATACTTGCCGTCTGCCCGTTGGAAGTCGGCAGGTAGCTATGTCTTGGTGCAAATGCCCATCGCTAGAACGCCTCAATCTTCCTCACGGCCTGGATCCTATAAGGTCGTTGTGTTGAGGCAGGGAAAAGAAAACACGCCGGATCCGGCGCTATGGAATTCAGCGGGATGCAAGCTAAGATGTGTAAACAAGAATCCGCAGTGCGCGCGTAGCCTACCTACCTGGGAATGACGTCGGGAACTATACGAAAAGTGAGGCGAACAGTTTGGGGGTTCCCGGCCTTTAATAGGACACCCCTGATTGTTCCTTACAGTCAGTCTCTTTCTCTCCACACCGCCGTGGGAATCATTGCAACAGAGAAGTGGCGACATATTTATACTTGTGTACTAACAGGACAGCCGATAATGGTGAAGCCTTATTTGACTTGTCACATTTGTTTTAGTTTACAATGCATGTAATGTGGTTTGCTGGATGTGGATTTGAGCAAAAGCCACCAAAAAAAGGGCGGGTTTCCTAGAGACCACTATGACGCCAATGGCACTGGAGAGTGAGGCCGCGAGGCCACAAAATTAGCTGACACTATCGGCCGGACTACATCCCGCACAACGCCACCATCCAAATTGATCGAAAGAGGGCGTTATACTGAGGTTTTTTTATAGCTGACGACGATGCACGTTAAACCACCTTATGGTCGAGGCATTCGACATGGAGGCTCCACGACATTCTGCTGACCACCTTGGGGGAATTGTTGAACGTTACGCTATGTTGTAGACGACCAATCATCCTGCATTTGTGCTGCTGACGCCGATCGGATTATTGTTTTACAGTCATACATTTTCTGATAAGGGTGGATGAAACCAACCTCTCGAGCTTCTGGTGCCTTCTATCCAACTACAGTTAAACGTTCTAGCCTCGACTTAACCGCTTGGACTAAAGCCGTCTCTCGTTCTAGGAGGCTCTTGACTTGCCCAACCTTCGCCCGCCTGAGCTCTGAGGGAATGCGTAGATCATCCCTCGAGGGACTTGAATCGTCCTCTTCTTCGCTAGCCGGCACTTCGAGTCCCTTGGTTTGTTCCTCAAGTTCGTCTTTTAGTTCCGTAATCTTCCGGTACCTGTCCATGAACTGCTTGGCGAGATTTGGCCCCTCTGCAGGGTGCGCTGATCCGAGTATGCCAGAATCCAGAGCCTTGACCTCCTTGACCCAGTCCTGCTCTTTTTGGCTAAGCTCCCGACTCATAGCCTTATTAATTGTCTTCCTCATCTTCTCCAAACGTTGGCTTAGAGCTTCCCCTTTCTCTTTAGCGCCTTGCAGCCTCCTCTCGATGGCGGCATTGCTTGACTCTGGTGTTTCGCCCTCTTCAACCTGATCCTCGTTTGTGATGGCCTCAACTCTTGCCTTCACTTCGTTCGCCTTTGCGATTTGCTGTTTTAATTCGTCTTGGAGCCTCACGCAACGTAGGAATACCTCTGAGGCGGCAACGCCAAGCTTGTGTGTCTCATCGCTAAGCACCTGGTGGACTTCAGTAAATAGCTGTAGAGTAAGTGGTGACAGCCGGATTTCTTGGTTCATGATTGTCTTGTGTCGACTTGTGCGGAGCCGATCGATAAACCCGGGAAGAACTGAAACTTCATCGAATGTGTGAGACGGCTGATAGACAGGGCGGGGCTCAAAAAACTCCAAAGGTCGGACTTCGGCATCCTGACCAAAGGATGGTGAGGTGGACGGAAAAGGCACAAAGTCGTCTTCCGGAGCATCAAAAACTAGAGCAATTGGTTCAAACTGAGTGGCAGACAGCAGGAAATAACCGAGGTCTGGATCCCGGGTTGCAACTGCCGCACTCAAGCGTGTCTGTGTGTCGCCCCGGGTTG